GGCCCGCGCTCCATGCTGCCGCCTCCCCGCGCCGCGCTGCTGCTGGGCGGGCGCTGCTCCCGGCGCGCCGCTCCGGGCGCTCCCCGGCGCCTTCCTCCGCGAGCCGAGAGTCTCCGAGCGCAACTTTCTCTCCCCCTCTCTCCTCGCTGTTTGGGGGTCGCGGCGAGTGTTTTTAGTGTGCGGATCGCAGCTTTCTCATTGTGCGCCAGCGAGGCCGATCCAGGCTGTCCTTTTCCTCCCGCACTTAGTCTAAGAGGAAGAAAGCAAACAAGACAGAGGAGTGAAGCCCCCGTACATACATGCGCCGGGGGGAGATGTCAGGCGCTGCTCCACCTTCCAAACAGTCACAGATCAAACAGTGTCACCCCGCCGGGGCGCCACTTGTGCCCCGCGCTGCCCCTGGGGGGCTCTGCCGCCAGGATCGCCGCTTCTTCCAATGCGAAATCTAATGCAAACACATTTCGATCATGGATTTTTGGCCGGTCTTGATCTTCCAACAGGAAAATTTTTGAAAAATGCACAAAAAGCACCCCCCCAAAAAGAAATCGAAAGGCAACAAAACAACCCGGCGAGTGTGTGCAAAGGGGGTGACGAGCAGACATTCACTGGGTGGGCGAGATGAGCGTGGACTGTCCCCCCTCCCCAAACTCCTAGGAGAGAGGGAGATGCACTCCCGCTCTCCCCTCTTTTCAGTGAAATATAACACACATTCGGATCGCAGAGCTTTCAGACAGTCTCAACTGATAGACAGACACATCGAGCTGCTTTTCCTGCTTCAGTTCTTACTCCTCCTCCTCTCGCCAACGTCACCCTGACAATTACAAATAGGTCTCACACAAACCATACCTGTCAATCTTTTTAATTGCTTTGTTTTCTTTTTCTTTCTTTTTTTTATTGCAGCTAAACAATATGACACAAAAAAGAAATCTTAATACAGCATAACATAAAAGATTGCACATTGGAGGAAGACATTCAGGGGGTTACGACTGCAACCCCTTGGGCTGATATGCTGGGAACAGCCCATGTGTTCCAAGTCAAGCTAAGTAGACACTACTTCTGCAGATTTTTAAACCTGTTAGTCCACCCCCCTTGTGCATTCATACACGTGCACCCACGTGGATCAGAACTACCCTTGGATGAAGTCTGTCCTAGAAAGAAAAAAAAAGAAAAGAAAAAAAAAAAACCTCCTCTGTCACTTTTGTAATCCTAGTTTGTGAGTTAGATTCGGTTGGGGAGGGGCACTGTGTGTCTTTTGTATTTTGGTGATTAATGGTAAGTGAAAAGATTTTTTAACATTGAAATATACACCTTAAATTTTAAAAATTAAGCATGGACTTAGCTTATCACAGAAAAGTGAGTAAATATTTAACTTGACCCAGTGCGAAAAGTGAACTGATTATTTGGTCAATACACACAATTAGGAAGAAAATTGACATGATGTAACCACAGCTCTTCCTAGCTGGGTTAGAAACCCAGGTCTTCATACATCATTGCAATGTCTCCGGTGCAATTAACTCCCTCGGCATCCCCACCTAGAACTTCAGAACGTCTGCGTGCTTTGGGAATTTGGCCCTCTGGTTTCCAATGTGCGTTCTCTCCCAGTGGGAAACCCATAACAGTCTACTAGAGCTACTTAAAACATTCATGGAAAAACACGAAATCTAGGCCAAAATAAATAAAATGGCTTAGTTAGTGCAACTTGCATGGGACGCACTGAGGGCAGAAGCAGGGCCAGGCGTTCTGGGGACAGAAGGCCGCGAGCCTGGGGTGCAGAGAGCACCCGGCGCCCCCCGCCCGGCAGGCGGAGGTTGTGTGCGCGATTGGCTGGGGGGGGCTCCCTGCCCTCCCCGCGCCCCCGGCCGTGCTCCGCCGCCCTGGCCGCGCTCGGGGTTGATTCGTACCACCTTGCAAGGAAGTGAACGCTTCGCACGGGAAGGGGAGGTGCCTGCGCCGGCCGCCGGTGGCTGCGCCGCCTTGGGGACGCCCCGG